ACCTTTTTTAAGTGAGGGGCTATTTTGAAGCGTGTTAGATCGTCCCGAAATAGAAGCAAGTCGCGATACTCAAAATGAGTCTCGCGACTGAAATATGTCCTTTTTTTTTTCAGGTGAAGTATATTTTATGACATACGTGTTCATCCAGTAATTACTTTTTTTTTTTATAGTTTCCTGTGTTTCTAAGAGCACTGCGTGTTCCTCATGCGACGATTTCGATTTGATTGCTAAGGGCTCAGCTATTGGTAGTTTCGACTGATGAGACCGAAGTGATCCTCCATAATGCTGTACGATCTTATTTTACGTGCGTACTGGTTCCGTAGTCGGGTGCTATTTCGTCACTGGGAAACCGTCTTTGCAACGGTTGTTCCAAACCTCTTGAGATTAAGAACGGTGAGCGCGTGCGTGTGCGCGCAAACCAGCGTGATATATGATCTGCCAGCGCAAGATCGCTCTGCTCTCTGGATCATCGTCGGTTTTCTTGTCTGGGGAAAATAAAATATACTGGACGACCTTTTGTAGGCTGTCTAGGGGGGAGAAAAATACAGAAAGCAATAACGACAAAATCCGTAACGTCAGCTGGACACAAATTTGCCTTGCGTTTCGTTGCGCTTGGAGTGTCGCTTTCATTCTGAAAATGCACATCTGACGTGTTTGACTTTGTTCTCTCTCTCCTCCCCCCCCCCCCCCCCCCCCCCTTTTTTTCTTATCTGACGATTTGTGTTCCGGACATCACGCATCTTCTCGTCAACCTGGGATATCTGCTTCACGCTCGTCACTTCCATTTCGCCCTGCGCCCATCTGTTGCTGACTGGCATCACGTGCCTGCCGCCCCCTTCGCCGGATTAGCACGTAAGAGCGGACGGCTATGGCGGGACTTTTGGTTTATTTGTTTTTATGAGGAGCACGTCATTTGTCGGTGCGGGAAAAAGCGGGCCTAAATTACGCGCCGACAAAGGCCCAGGCGTGAACAATCGCGCGCAAAAGGTTACGTAACGAACTGACAGGCTTTGTGTTACAAATTCAGACTTGTTTGTTAATACGATCGTCTCACTAAGAGCCAAAAGCTTTTGCTATGGTTGACTTTGGAGGGAGTTTAGAAACAACATTTTGGGAGTGACCCGCGATGCGCTATCGTCCGTGCGTGCGTACGTACGCTCGCGCGATAACCGCGTGAGTGAGTGAAAGTGTCAGTGATGGGTTGTTGCACCATTTGCACCAAAGTGCTTACCCTGCTACAGCTGGCTACATTTCGCCAAAATGTGATGAATTTGCGCCGCCATTGCGCCAGAACGTAATTTCACTTTATTGCCAGGTGTGAGATAAGGACGGTCATACGGGTGGCATGCCTTTTTTTTTTTTTCGTTTTCAATTAATTTTATAGGAGGTAGCAAAACATGTTCGTACTATAAAATAAACCTTGCTTCTGCAAAAAAAAAATAATAATAATAACTTAATTGTTTTTGTTAAAAGGATTGCATCTGAGGGGAAGTGGAACTACAATTTTTCCAGTTGCACGTAAACACAACTTTGAGGGCCACAAGATTAATAATAATAAAAAAAAAAAGTTTTGCAACATAAACATTTTTTTTTTTTTTTTTTTTTTAGATCATGCCAACTGGTCTACATGAAGTAGTTAGATTAAGTTTGTTTAAGTTTATATTTCGAGTGAAGTAAAAGGACAAACTTGGCCTCTTGTGCAACCCTTTCATATTTAGGGATTTTTTGTGATTTTTTAGCACATCTTGCAATTAAGTTTTTGGGCTGAAACGTTTTGTACAGAGTATTTCATGCTTTGTTCACTTTTAATAAAAAAACATTGAGGGCTCAACTATTGTGAGTGAGTGTTGCATTGCTCCCAGAAGTTTTAGAAATATTGAAAAAGTAAAAATTGTGCAACTTTTGTGTGACAATTAAAAAAAATAATCCTCGATTTTTTCCGAATTTTTTTCGAGGAGCTCTTGGAAATGGATACTTCAGAATCCTCAAAAACATGTTGCATTATATTTTCTTAATTTAGAAAAATATGCGTTTTGCCAGGTCTATGCTGCGGACAATTACGGTTGGAGGATTTTTGTCTCAACGACTAGTGGTACTTGAGCACTGCATCCACGGTGGCCGTAGTTGGCTGTATTATCTCCCAGACACCATGAAACATTGTACAAAAAAAATCTGTTAGTTTTTTTGTTTTTTTTTTTAAGTGATGTTGATATGGTTTTTGAAAACTGAATTTTGCAGCACATCCTGTCCTTAGGGTGTTGTGCTTGGTTGATTGTGCTGCACTGCACTACTCTTCCTGGGTAGTATTTAATGAGGGTAGCCTGTTGACAAAGATTCAATTCCTTTATCTAGACATCACTATACTACGTTTCTAATTATGAAGGGTTGTACCGGACGTTACGAGCTATCTCAACCAATGTAGCGTATGATGTAACAGCGCGTCACTGTGCCCTTCTCCAAGGTTACATGACGTCCGTGCAACATTGGATTGACTTGTGTGATTTGTAGCGTTGTCTGTGGTCCATCGTAAGGTAAAACGGAGTACATGAAAAGGAGACGTTGGGAATCTTATGCCCCAACTGGTGGTAGGCGGGGCGGGGGCAGAACAGTAGCAGGTTGCGTCTAAAAAAAAAAGAAAAGATATAAAGACAAAGAAGTGGAAAGCTATAGTCGGTGACAGGTCAAGAAAGAAGTGGAAGCTCCTCCCACCTCTTTCCACTTTAGCAGAGCAAACACTGGACAAAAGGCAACCTCCTCTCTACTGTTCGCTCCGCTGAAGTGGAAAGGGGTGGAAGGAGCTTCCACTTCGTTCTTGGCCTGTCACCGACTATAGGCAGCTTCATTGGACCGGCTTTCCACCTTCGCACAAGTGATGTCTCTGGCGTTTGTAACGCAACTGCACACCGGTTGAGGTTTACACCACGCAACTGAAGGCTGAAATCTCCCAACAGCATGGTGTTGGGTGACTTCAAATGGGATTGAACAGTGGGTAAATGGTCAACATTCTTAATTCGCTTGATATTTTACATGTCATTGCCCAGTTTATAGTATACAGCGAGCAAGTGTTCTAAAATGCGTCTTTGGCACATCGGACCGCAAAGGCCAATAAAATGGCAACATAGATAAAGCATACGCAGAAAGTGCAATGACGAAGCAGCCAAGCTCATGCTGTGATTGGTTGAGGTCGGGAGAAACAAACGCACATGGGTGCATTTGGGGGGCTAAACAAACACCCAGGGTGTGCAAGGAGCAGACAAACTTGCGCGCCGCATAAATAAATCCAAAAACATCTTCGCATAAAAAACGGGAAAGCCTCCAACAGTAATTGACTGCAACACAGGCATTGATAAATGCTTATTATTCTAATTTAAAACGATATAATGCAACATATTTTTTGCAGATTCTGAATTATCCATTTCCAAAGATTCATTGAGGGAAATTTGAAGGGAATCGAGGATGATTATTGTTTTAGTTGCTGAACAAAAATTGCATAATTTTTACTTTTTCAATATTTCTAAAACTTCCAGGGCACAATGCAAAAAGCATTTATAATAGTTAACCACTAACTTTTGTGCTAAATGTGAACAAAGAATGAAATAATTTGTACAAAACATTTCAGCCTTTCAACTTGTTTCTGAAGTAGGTTAAAAATTCGCCGAAAAATGCCTATAAATTTGAAAGAGTTGTGCAAGAGGCCAAGTTTGTCATTTTCAACATTGTAAAACCCGAGACGTAGGACAAAAGGAGAAGAAAAAAAAGGGACAACACAGACCTGTGTCTGTGTTGTCCCCTTTTTTCTTCTCCTTTCGTCCTACGTCTCGGGTTTTACAATGTTGAAAGTTCACCAGCTCGCTTGCATCTTCTCTGTAATTTGTCATTTTATTTTACTTGAAATATAAACTTAAATAAACCAAATCTAACTGCTTCAAGTAGACTAGTTGTCACGCTTTATACATAAAAATACTTACATTGTAAAAAATTTTATTTTTTTATTCCTGTGCCCCTCAAAGTCGCGTCTGCTCGCAATTGGGAAAATCACAGTTCCGCCTCCTCTCGGACACAATATTGTTTTACGAAAACACTGAAGTGTTTTTGTAAACGTAACGTCTATTACGTTGTATGGAAATGTTTTTCTAACTCATGTGAAAATTTATTTGAAAACACCCCATGACCGTCCTTATCTAAACACACCCTGCTACTGAAAATATAATGGCTCAGTCCCTTCTACACAGCTGGATCGTTACGGTAGCCTTGTGCGAATCTTCAGAACCTTTGAATATTGCCTCAAATAACATACTACTCACTTTCATCTCTGTCACGCTGTCTTGCAATGTTTCTCATGTCCGCTGTCTGTTCTGGCAAGTCATTTGGCCTCGTTGAGTGCGCTTCTCACTGCGCTCTGTCGCACTGTGGTGAAGCAAGAACCAGAGGAGGCATGGCAAATTTGCTTATCTTGCTTTGTCACGGCACACCCATGTGCTAAAGGGAAAGCTCTCCTCCAGAACGGAAGGTTGCACACATCAAATAAGTGTCTCATATAAAAGAAGGATAGCAAAAAAGAGCTCTCAGTGAAGGTTGATTTAACAACTCTACCTTTCATTTAACTTTTCTTAATAAAACAACAGCTAGTATATATGGTAGACAACAATATTTAGATCTGTTTTAAATTTGTAATTTAGCAAGGATATTTGGGTATTGTAAAAAAGGTGTACATGAACTGTTCTCTACGTTTATTTTTTATTTCCTCTCTCTAGTCATCATCTCTATATAGGTTCCATCTGTGCAATGACACAGTGAATAGAGTAAATTAAAACTAAATTAGCTGGGGCCATAGGTGGAAGCTTCCGAATAACTTTAGTGAGTTCACATGCCTGTTTGATTGTTCTGGTGCCAATTTTTTTATTATAAATTCTAAATATAGAATGTCATTGTTGTTCCTAATCCAATGACAAAAGCTTTGTTCTTATCTTAATTAAGAATTGCAGTTTTTTACCACCTTTATAACTTTTATCTAGCATCAATTTCTTAATATTTTTTTGTTCTAACATTATTTTCATGGAATATATTATTTGGTTTATGACTCCATACCTGAAACAGCATTCACAGCGGTTCATAATGTCCTTCATCAGTCAGCATCTTGTTACTGTGCCTGGTGTCTCATTCGCAACTGAACTGCTAGTCAGTCCTCTGTTTGAGGGAATCATATTTGCTGTGCAATTGATGCTGATAAAAAGTTGCACAGGAGTTGGAAGGCAATGTGGACTATGTCTTTAGTTGGACAGGCGAACAGTGGTAGAAATGAAGAGGAAGTGTATTCCTCTGCTCCAAAAGTTCTTTTTGCTGCTTCAAAAGATGCTCCAAAATGGTTTAGACCAATCACATCACTGATGTCTGCTTCTGTTGCATCCAGAGTTACGACTAAAGAGGGTCGACTGTACTGAAGAGCTATCCCTTTTTTAATGTTGGATGCTGGGATAACTTAAAAATTGGGCTGTGTCCCCAATGTCTAACAATTCATGTTTTATTTTTCTCTTTCATGAATGCTGGCTTTGGCAGGGGGTAAGTGACTTTTCACTTCCTTTTGTTTTAAATTATTCATTGTGGAAAAAATATTTTCATACACATGTTTTATTTTTTGATAGTACAACTGACAGTGATGGAAGTGCTGCGCCATTTGCGCTATATTACACCATGAACGAAAGTCTGCTACATCTTGCGTCAAAATGCCATTTTTGCTGAGAATTGCGTCACACTCACCAAGATGGGCTCTGAGCAAAGAAATAATTAAATACTACGTATTGGTCTATGAATAATAAAATAATAAAAAGAGAAGTAGGAGGAAAGAAAAATTGTACAAATATGAATTTTGCAGCATCTCTACTCACCGTATAGTTTGTTTCGTCTTAGGTCTGAGCACAGTCGAAGGCTCAAACACATACAACCACAAACACACGTGCTAAAAGCGCAAGTCACGGGACATTTGCTGCACTTGATTGGTTTAGCCGATGAAAGAACACGTACAAGGAGATGACGACTGATGATGTCGCACTTTGATTCTGCGAATCAACCGGCCAGAGTCGTTGATGCATCAGCAGCTCTGGCCGGCTGATGCGCTGGCTGGTTGATTGCCAACATTGTCTTAATTTCTAGACGATGTCGTCGATGTCAGGAACTAAATGTCCCCCGAAAACTTTGCAAAATAGTAGGATTACAGAATGCGGCTACCGTGATGAAACAGAACCAGGGTCTTGTACTCCTGATCAGGTCACTTGATTGTCATGTCTGCCACATGCCTTCGTTCTATGGCTGCAGAGTACCGTGGCTTTTGCGCCGCTCGAGTCAACCTTCACCGCTTGTCACCAGCGTGCGTGCATTGAGCTTCACCTCTTGGCACCGGAGCGCTAGGAACAGCGGCTGACCTGGGGTTGCGCCTGGCTTAGCACAATAGGCACGCAAATTATGCTCAAAATTACTACAGCTCGATCTTCTTTGTCCTAATTGAACGTTAATTGCTAATTTAAAAAATGAAAATTGAGCAGAGAAGGAGAGAGACAAGAAAACATGGGTCTATATATGTTGGAATAAATACTGTGGTCACGGTAGTTCCCGTGTAGGTTTCAATCGAAAGAGCTGCGAACTTCAACCATAACTCTGGTTCCTACGTCGCTAAAGAGCAGTTTCGCCTTAAATGCACAAGTGTAGGCTTTCATAATATTTGTGGGTGGTTTTTGCAGTTTATGATATTAGTCTTGAGTTTGGTAGGTTCATTAAACTTGTGGGACACATTTTTATTGGTAGATGTGTTAGCAGATATGCCGGTTCTTGCTGGCATTTTACGGAAATTATATTTACAGGCCACCTAGTGTAAAATGGGGAAGGGAAAGAGGATTTATCCCAATGAAGTGATTCACTTTTCAACCATTTTATAATACCCATTGTAAATTAAACCTACTCTGGCTAGAGCCTTATTTAAGAAGACTGTGTTCCTTTTACACCCTATCTATTCTTGTCACGAACGGTAATGATCAGTAATATGCTTGGGTATCAAAGGGGAACCCTTAATCACTAACATAAATGAACTCATTTAGAGATGCAATATCTTTTTCATTCTCAAGTGATGTGCTAACAGATGTTGACATCTGCTCTAAAAGCATCAGTGGCTGCTCAAAACCAACATTTTGCCTGCTACAAAGGGTCAAACGCCGCTTCCATCACTGAATTGACGTGAGGACACCATGCATTTAGGTGGTCAGGTGCATTTCGATGGTCAGAGTAATCATCTCTCATTCTTGATATTTGTGCAGTGACTTTCTCTCGCTTAAAAATTATCTGTGTATCTGGCTAGAACTTGATTATGCTGTTTTAATTCTGTTCCACAATGCTCACAAAAAAATAGCTACTCAGAAGAAAGAATGGGAACACCTCAGGGCGCATGAAACTCTGCAAAACATTTGGGCACACAGGTGTACAGCATCCTCCTCATTGCTGGCATCAAGATCGCCTTCAGAATCGTGCACAATCTCTAAAATGGTATCAGTTCCTTCCCTCACCAAGGAAGACATCTCTCTAGATCTTCTAGTTCAGGTGTGGAGACAGCAAGCAGCAATTTGTTCACTAAAATGAACTATTTACAGGTGTTAGAAGTCAGCGTTTTTATGTGCCAAAGCCTGCAAAGATGAATGAGATCACCATAGAGGTGGTAGATTTGCTGCGTGGTGTCCCCATATGAGGAGAGATATTAGTAAACATCCAAAAAATAAAAAGAGAAAAGAAATTTTGACGTGAAACGTTTTTTAGCTAGGTGTTCGGCATTTCGTGAAGCCCAGATGAAAGTGTGGCTGGAAGGCCCGACACTGATTGCTTTTGAGTTAAGGGGGGAAGAGGCTATCGCAGTAAAAGAGTGTTTGCTCCTAGCGGGAATTGAACCCAGACCATTTAGATTATTAAACGAGTGTCTTTCCTGCATGTCGCGAAACATCTTCGTGAGTTGAGGTGCTATTTGGCGGTAAGGCCCTGTGGGGCATCCGCTCTAGATCCGGCAGTTAACAATTTGGCACCCTGTCGCACGTTTTAAGGTGAAACGTTCATTGGCTAGGTGTTCGGCATTTCGTGAAGCCTGGATAAAAGCATGGCCGCTAGGCTTGACACTGATTGGTTGACAGGTGGGAGAGCATGAGTGAAGTGCTCAACGCTGATTGGTTAACAGGGAGGTCATGTGACCCGAGGGGTATGCGAGGAGGAGCTCAAGCACCTGCATGCACTTATGGAAGGCTCTGGAAGATCGCCAAGTTTATCAGCCCGATTGGCTGTACTATCACTTTGTTCTAGGAACAACTATCAATAATGTTCACATGGTATGTGTTGAACTATCTGATAAAGAGCGCCATGAACGTAGGCATCTGGCGATTGGAAACTCGGAGTATCGCTAAACGTTTGTTTCATGCATGCAACACTGTGGACTAACAATTTGCCATACATTTTGTTTTTAATTATTAAAGCAATAAAATATAAAACAACCTGAAAACAATTTTTATTCATATGTAAATGCAAGAAATTTGTAGTAACAAAATCTTGCTTTTATGACCCACTACATAACATTGTTATGGAGGAAAGTGAAGTTGCACGCCAGCTCGGTGGCAGCTGACGAGTGCTGTCATCTACCGGGCACAAAGGACTGCGTCTTCTGTCCTCATTTGAGGATGCCATGTGGCAAGGCAAGCTCCCCCCTAATGTCAGTCTCCCAGTGTCCGGGCCAGGGGCTTAAGGTAGGAAACCAAAAATTGGAGAGTGGGAAAGAGCGAGAGTGTGTGAAAAAGAAAAGTATCTGTTCTCATATGTGGACATAATGCATGAGAGGGTTAAGGGAACTGCAGAATAAAACACTGTTTCTACAGAAGCACACGCAGAGCAGAATCTTCTTTCAGAGCTAGCAGCTCACATGCATATCCATGTTACACAAAATACTGGCACAATCGATCATTTATGGCGGTTAAAGAATTAAGGACTCACAGCTGTGTTCTTAAAAATACAATACAGTTTTTCATGCAATTCCACCGCAGTACCTCATGAATAGGGCATATAAATTGCCTCTGTAATTAGTCTTCTTAGACATCCTCCAGAGACGCTACCTGACAAGACGTGTGGCCGTGAGCCTCCTCGTGTGCATTTTATTTCACGTCTGCTTGCTGCAAATAGGCTCCCCCTTAAAGTGGAAAGGAAGTGAAAGCTGGCAACACACAGCCAATGACATTTGTGAATCTAGTTGTGTGATGAAGTGATATTGGGTTCAGAGTTCTCAGCTTCTAGAGGTATTTTTGTTTGAAAAGCTGCACCTTGTTTTTTAGCAATTTCATTGTTGTGTGCAAAATTATTTAAACTTGCTCACTACATTGAAGCCATGTCTGATATTGTTTTTGGCTGAAGTGATCATTTAATTTTAACAGTGTCACCATAGAACTATTGCTCAACCTCAATTGCATTGACCTGAAACCCTCTCCTCAATTGCTGCTTTTTTTGCTTTGCTTTTTCCAGGGCTACACACCACTTCATTTGGCTTCCATGTTCCAAAAGCAGCATATCATTGAGCTCCTTCTTCACACATATGGTAAACTCTTGCACATTTCATTTTGCCTATGACCAGTTCATGATTTCTTCCGACCCTCTTCTAACCTGGTTTTGATTTTCTACTCAGATCTTGGGATTCAAATTTTATTATGAAAGCCATGTTCTTTCTTCTCCAATTTTGTTGTGTCACTGTTAAGAATGTAAAAAATGCTATTTCTATATATGAGGAAGGGATGGACAACAACGACAAGCGACAACTTCCAAATAGCAACAAACATTTATTAACCCGAAGTCTGTCCATATAGGGGTAGAGAACAAGGGGGAAAAAGGAGGAACTAAACCACAAGAGGGAAATGCAAAGGAGGTGACCTAACCTTCTAGGACGCGTCACCGTTCTGAATGCCAGGAAGAAGTTCCGGACTGAGGAAGCTTTTCTCCTTTGCAGATAGGCCAATGGAGGGGGAACTGATGTCGAAATTGCTGTGGTACATCGCAAAGGCTTCTATTATTTCGCTCCCGTACCCTGAACTGTGACCACCGATTCTTTCGATTGAAGGGAAGAATGCGTCGCGATCGGGTCAAAAGTGGACTTTGTGGCGTTGGTTGCAGCCTTCTTGACCTCATTTGTGTGCTCTTGCAAGCGGTCGTTGAGGTAGCGCCCCATTTGTTCAATGTATCTTGCACCGCACTACATGGGAATAGAGTAAAAGCACTCTTTACAGCAGGGCACATAGCTAGTTTTGTGCTTCTTCTGACATGAAAACTCTGGTCTGGGATTGCTCACTTTCTTGGAAATGGAAGCTAGCTTGAACTTGCACGAGAACACCACGTTGGTGTGGAAACGGAGAGCGATAGATTTCAGGCGGTGCGACGTGTTGTGGACGTAGGGGTGTTGGAGTAGCGGGACTTTGGAGGGGACTTGTTGGATCGTCGGCCCAGAATTATTCTTTTGATGGTAAATTCAATCATGTCGTGGGGGTAGCCGGCCCTAAAGAGGCACCCGATCTGGTCGGCGAGGCTGGCAGCGCTTAAGTGCTGACAGGACTTTGTTTTAGTGGACACGATAAGGGTCCGAACAACACCGTATTTTACATTTTTCGAGTGCGAGCTGCTGAAGGAGAGAACAGGCTTTGAGGACTTTTGCCTATGAGACCAGCAGATGCCAACGCTCATGGGGTCAACTCTTAATTCGAGGAACTGCAGCCCTTCACCCGATTGGACCTCTTTCGTGAACCTAAGCCCAAAGGAGTCCGCCTGAAATACTTTCGCAATGGCTGCGGTGTCCGATACGTTGGAATGGAAGTAAATAATCGTCGACGTAACGGAAAACCTTTACCTCGGGAACATCCTGTTCGAGGATGGACTGAACCTTAGAGTCCACATAAAACAGAGAAATTTCGCTGAGAAGGGGTGCAAGGCAAGATCCTATACAGACACCTGATTTCTGCAAAAACACCTTACCATCATGCTCAATTAGAGTCAACTGGAGATATGACTGTATCAACTCAAGAAACGTTGACAGGGAGATGCCGGAGGAATTTTGGAAATTAATAACGCCTCTCATGAGATGGCGTCGGACACAAACTCTAGAAGAGTCTTATTGTTAAGGCTGTAGTAGAGGTCTTTCACCGGCATCTCTCTGTCAGCGTTTCTCGAGTTGATATGGTTTTATCTCCATTCAACTCTAATTGAGCATGATGGTAAGGTGTTTTTGCAGAAATCGGGTGTCTCTATAGCATCCTGCCTCACCCCTCTTCTCAGCGAAATTTTCTTTTTTATGTGGACTCTAAGGTTCAGTTCATCCTCGAGCAGGAGTTTCTCGAGGTAAAGGTTTTCTGTTACGTCGACGATTATTTAATATTTCATTCCAACGTATCGAACACCGCAGTCATTGAGAACGTATTTCAGGCAAACTCCTTTCATTTCATTTATTTACTCTCAATTTACTCTTACTCTTTCGTGAACCTAAGCCCTTTGGGCTTAGGTTCACGAAAGAGATTCCGTCGGGTGAAGTGCTGCAGTTTCTCGAATTAAGAATTGTCCCCACCAGCGTTGGCGTCTGCTGGTCCCATGGGCAGAAGCCCTCAAAGCTCGTTCTCCACTTCAGCAGCTCGCATTTGAAAAACGTAAAGAAAGGCATTGTTGGGAACCTTATCGTGTCCACCAAAACAAAGTCTTGTCAGCACTTAAGCGCTGCCAGCCCCTCCGACCAGATCGGGCACCTTCTTAGGGCAGGCTACCCCCACGACATGATTGAATTTACCATCAAAAGGATAATTCTGGGTCCACGATCAAACAGACCTCCTTTAAAGTCCCGCTTTGCCAGCACCCCATACATCTACAACATGTTGCACTGCCTGAAATCTGTCGCTCTCGGTTTCAACACCAACGTGATGTTTTCGTACAAGTTCAAGCTAGCTTCCATTTGCAAGAAAGTGAGCTACCCCGGACCAGCGCCTTCATATCAGAAGAAGCACGAAACCAGCTATGTATATGCCCTGCTGTAAAGAGTGAATTTACTCTATTCCCATGTCGTGCCGTGCAAGATACATTGGACAAACGGGGTGCTGCCTCAATGATTACTTGCGAGAGCACGCAAATGAGGTCAAGAAGGCTGCAACCAACGTCACTGAGTCCACCTTTGACCCGATCGCGAAGCACTCTTCAGAATGCGGACCTTGTTCAGTCGACTTCCCTCAACCGAAAGAATCGGTGGTCACAGTTCACGGTATGGGCGCAAAATAATAGAAGCCTTCGCGATGCACCACAGCAAGGTCAAGATCGGTTCCCCCTCCATCAGCCTATCTGCAAAGGAGATAAGCTGCCTCAGTCCGGAACTCCTTCCTGGCATTCAGAACGGTGACGCGTCCTAGAAGGTTAGGCCACCTCCTTTCCGTTTCCCTCTTCTGATTTAGTTCCTCCTCTTCCCCCCTGTTCTCTACCCCTGTATGGACAGACTTCGGGTTAATAAATGTTTGTTGCTATTTGGAAGTTGTCGCTTGTCGTTGTTGTCCGTCCCTGTGTCCCTTCCTCATATTAGTACCCTTACCAACATGCTTCTCCTTTACGCACAAATGCTATTTGCTTGCTTGTATTCTCAGGGGTAAATATCAGGGTAGCCAACCTAGAGAGATGCCTGCATTGGCAGCAGACAATGTCATAGTCTGCTCATATTTGCCTACTTGACGTCATCAGCTGCCGAGCTGCAGTGCATTAACGTGCTCAACCACCCATCTCCCCGAACTCGGATTTGCTTCCATGCTTTTGGTTGTTCGGTTACTTCTGAATCAGTGAAATTGACAGTGACAACAAGAGAAAGGAAGACTAGAACTCGGCCTTTCTTTGAAATTTTATTCCTGTGGGAAAATACATGGTGATGGTCGTCACTTTAAAAGAATAGTTGAGTGGAAATTGGGAGCTGACCTCACGCTTTTCGAAACTAGTTAATCTAACGTGAAGGTGGTCAAACCAGAACACTTTGAAAACAAGGTTGTGGAAGGAAACTTTCAAGTGATGCCTGCAGCAGATGACCTACTCCTCCACCGAAATGGAATGCATTTTGATCTTCTAAGGGACGTCTAAAATAATGAGAGGCGCTGTTGCTGCCAGTAGCTCTTTGCACCCACTCAGTGTGATTACAACCTTAGTCAGTTACCGAATCTCACAAACTAGGGTGTCCTCACCTCTCTTAGTGGCCCCCTGCAACTTCAGGATGAGGGATATATGTAGGTAGCCTTTTTCTTTGGAATTATGTAGTGGCAATATGGGCCTCCTGGCCACATATGCAATGTTTTTAATTGTGCTGCTCAATATTGAGGTTGCAGACTTTCTGAATTCTTCAAGACATGTGAGAGGGACAGGGTAGACCCTATACTTTCCTTAGGACCCATTTAATTGGTAACTGTTGAGGCATATAATTTTAATATTGGTATTATTTTGTTTAGCATTTTATGATTTTTTAACTGAATTAAAACTGTATTTTTATAACTTTCCCTTCTGTTGTTGTTTTTTCACTTTTCTTCATTAAGCTTTTATTTTCTAGCTCTTTTTCAGCTTTTCTAAGCACTTCACAGTCGCTAAGCGATTTTTCAGACTTTGCAGGAACTGCAAAAAACGTCCGAATAATAAAGCAGTTAGAAAAATCAACAGACTAAAAAACTTACTTTTATTACGTCTAAGCAAGCTTAAAAAAGCCGTCAATAGTGCCTTGCTTCAGGTTACTCCTCCACTTGCGTTCGGCCACTTTCTATTAGCTTGAGAATTGCTGCCCTCTTTTCTAGCTTTATGGTCGAGTAAGTATTTCCACGCTTCTTAACGACACTTCGCAGCGGCGTAAGAACAGATAGATCCATGACGTCCAAGTCAGCCTAGTCTGAAAACACGATTCACCAGAGACGAGATAAGGGGCTCAAGTCCACAACTGCAGAATGGCGGATGAACAAAGCGAAATTGTAACAATGGTGATGGTAATAATGTGCAGCTAGAGAAAGAAAAGCCACAGCACAGTGTCACCTAGCGGTAAGACGCAGCAGTACTCAAGTAGCGCTGCCAAACCAAGCCAATTCATGTGCAGCCAACATAGAGTCTAAAATGATTACTTCTTGTTGGTGTTTCCTGCTGATTGCTTGCGACGATTTAGTTCGGAAAACCAAACTTTCGGACTTCCGAGCTGTCCGAAACATCAGTCGTGAATATGCTCTATTTTTATCGGTTATGTCACGGTTCCTCCTTTAGGTCCGAAATATCAAACTAGTCCGAATTTTCAATGTCCGAAAAATCGGTCGGTGACAAAATCTTTTCATTAAATGACTGCTGGAAAATGAAGACTTCATGAAACAATAGGCACATTCAACAAAAACTTTGTATTTTAAAAAAAAATTAGCATTAAAGTTTAAAAAAAAGGCTCGAGGTACACCTAAGCACTTCTTATGAGTTGTGAATACAAAAGCTTGCACGCCGCTCATCCGCTCCCTTATTACGTCTGCTGCATACTTTTTGTCGCCGGTCAGCACGCGCGCTCTCCGCGGCGCGCTGACGGACACGCAGCGCCATGGGGTGAGTGGTCGTTGAAACTGACGCAGCGGCCAGTGGGAACCTCATCGACACGCGCCAGCCAATGGGACTGAAGCCGAAAATCCATTAGCTTTAGTTCGGGGAAACTAGGTGCCGCAGTCTAGGCTTTTCGCGTGGTTTCATAGCTGGGAGCTTGCTTCACTTTGAGAAAGGATTTAATGTGTCGTTTTCGCGCTTCAAACTAATGACGTCAGCTCGCTCCGAGGGACAGTTAATGCTTTCGCATTAAAAAAAAAAAAAAAGTACCGCAATACTTTTTTTTTTTTATTGATGTACCCTGGCACATTTATTTAATAGCTACCAGGCAGATATTCATCACCGCAATCGCTATTTCTTTTCTCCGTCTGTTGCCTTGCTTTACAGACCTCTCATCGTCTGTCGTGCAGCTCAGTTCACAAAATAGATTCGACGGCTGTTAATATCATTCGGCCACTGCTTAATGGTGCCTGGAGTGCATCTCTGACTAGGATATTTACCGCATCCAGATGTGTGGCCCCCTGATCTCCGCCCGATGGTGTCGTAAATTTGCCGTGGATTCGCGACTCCAGCGACCTATAGAGGGCACCACCACCAAACAAACATGGCGGCTGAGTCCAGTTCACGTCGGCTCGGCCGGGCGGCCTGAACAGGTGGCGCGTTCAATTTAACAGATTTTCTTTTGTTTAACGCCCAATTTTATAGGTATTTGAACTGAGACAGTGAAGTGTAGCCGGTGCACATAAACTTGGAAAGCATAGTTTTGTTTTCCCGGTGTTATTTGTTCTTTTCATGTCAAACTTTAGTTTCGGAGATTTCATTCAAAACTGAAACTATGGCCACCGGAGAGACGGTAAGAGACTCTAATCAGTTTTGATCACCTAAGGAAAGCGGCGAGCACTACAGAATTGTTTCACCGAGAGCAATTTTCAGCTAACTCGCATGCCTCGACTGTGCGACTGTCCGAGAAATCGAGCTTTTGTGCGTACCTCCGTTTAGGAATCGGCTCCAGTCGTCTGCTCGGTCAAGAACACAGGCTGCAGGAAAATTACGAAAATTAAGCTGGCGCTTCTTGAGCCAAGGACCATGTTAACCAGCCGGCGCCCCGCTAAGCAGCTGATACTCGTATTTCAATTCAGGTTTTAGTAGCAATCGAGAAGTCATATTGACGAACGGCTTATGTATTATATTACATACTATGGGGTCCCACTAAAGCGATATTAGTATATTCTTCGGGTTAAAATATGAACTTAGTTGACTAGCTATAAGGTGAACTGCTGAATAAAAGTATAGTTGACAGACAGAGAGATACTACCTAAACTCAGCCATATAGTTCTAGCCGGCAGCACCAAGACAAACTGAAGAGTCTTCATCGGAAATTCACGCAGAACCTCTCTGCATTGAACTTTGCTTCGAATACTGAACGGAGAAAATGTGTATTTTTTGTGGCCGGTCAACCTGAGCATTGTAAACGGATATTGCTGCTGGCTTCGACGGGGGTATAATATAAATATTGGGAGGCGCAATAGATCAAAATGCCGTGACAGCGTCTAACGTCGCGAAACTCGTCCCCCACCTTTTGAAAACAGATAATTTCCCTCAATAATCGTATGCAGCGAGCAGGTTTTCCCGAATCAAGTAATTGCGAAATCAGCCCAACTCCTTCAGAGAGGTCCAGAGGCTTTTTCGGCGAAAAGTAGCCAAGATGAATAGCCAACGCACCGACCGGCGTGGGTGGCCCGAACTTGAAGCCAACCGAACGCAACCAAACTCAAGAAAAGCAGCTATCGAACCTTCCCATTCATTTGACTGCAACATTGGTGTTTCCTCCAGTGAAACACCTCGTCTGTCGTCCTCAGTCCACTGTTCTACATCCTTATAAAGAAACCACTTATCAGTTACCAAGTAGTCGTCACTTTGAATCTGATTCGAGACAGACAAGAAATCAAAACGTTTTTCCGTGATTTCTCCCCATCCAAGAAATCAAAAGCATGCGACCGTATGTTGTGCAGTAAACGGGTTTTCAAACACGTGATGGAAGGAAACAATCTACTTAGGCTTCACCACACTAATGAACACTCAGACAAACTTAAGAAATTTTGAACCTTCGTCCAATCACATTGTTCGCCACCGCGCCGACAACATGTGTCCGCGAAAGCCACCAGAGATGCGGAGGGGCACGGAGCGACCTGGTCCGGCTGGTTCCCGGTTTTCCCGCTTGGTGGCGTCCGTTTTGCTGGAGTCGCGAATAGCCAGATGCTCATGGTACCAGGCAGCACGGTTGAAGAACTCGTTTAAGTTTTGTGTTTGCCCATGCAGGTACTTGTTAATGAGTTTTTGGCTTCTTCAGTTGCTTACGTAGGGGTTAGCTGTGCTCTTCCCGGTCAATTGCAATCGAAGCGTAGCCATTAACCACACAATTTCTTCTTTCAGGCGCGCTGTAAACTCCGAGAGGTTCCACCATGATGAGCGGGGGTACTGCGCTCGGTGTCGGGGAAGTGACACATTTTAAACGGTTTCTTCAGCTTCATCATCTCGCAGATGGAAATTTACAATCATGGGCCTACCAACCGGGGGAAGGGGGGGGGGGGGGGGGGGGGCGGCAAGGGGAATGCTTGGCCCCCCAGTTCTCAGAGTGGGGGGGGGGGGGGGGGCGAGGCATCTGTTTTGCTCCCCCCTGAAACAGCCGCCACTGGGTAGGGTAAACACTGGCCAGCGGCACCCAAGGGATACCAAGGGCACTGCCCCCCGGCCCTGGGGGGGGGGGGGAGGGGGGGGGAGGGGGGTCTGGCTTGCCCCCTTACTCAAAAACAAGTTGGCACGCCACTGCTTACAACGATTCATGCATATGATCTAGAGCAGGGGTGGCCAAGCTGCGGCATTTCGCATGGTCAGGTGCAGCTTGCGGCTCCCTCCCCAACTCCCCCCCCCCCCCCCCCCCCTCCCTGCATAAACTCCCGGTTACACGAGCACTTCTCCAAAAAGAGAAATGAAACATGTTTTAAAATGAAAGTCAGGTTGTGGTTTGGTTGTCTTGTGCTACTGCTACCATACGCACAGTACAGTTGAACTGCTTTTGACTCGGATAGATTGAAAGTAGTTCGAGTTTCGTGTATTGCTCTGCACAAACGTTTGCCCCCTGCCCCCGCTCCCCCCCTCCCCCCCCCTGTGGCTATTAGAAGTTTGTAGTTTTCATTTGCAGCTCTTAGGCTGAGTCAGCCTGGCCACTTCTAATCTACAGCTTGTTTGAAGACAAAGCACTAGCCTGCTTTGATTGCCAATATATTTTGAAAACTCTGCCAAACTTGGTGAAGTTGGCAATTTGTATTGGAACCATTGCATAGGCAGAGGCACAAAAAGTGGGGGAGATTGGGGGGGGGGGGGGGGTTGCATATCACTTGTTTTTTTATTTCCCTTAGGCATTTAAATATCATGCAAACACAAGTGGGACATTAAATTTTGTTGAGACAAAAACAAATGTCAAATCGCAGAGAAACTATTTTTTTCTTATTCTGTTTCCTTAATTTGGATTTTCTAAATTAGTTTGGTTTCAAACATGTTGATTTAGAATCTGACAACCTTCCTCAAATTAAAACTTGAAAGTTTCCATTCATTTTGATGGCTTGACGTTCAAACACTTCTAACAGGCACAAGATGTTAACAAAGTGTAAGGTTAAAAAAAAAAAAAAAAAATTTTTGTCTTGTTTGTTATATTTTTTTTCCGGGTAGTACAGCTCAAACTCTATTTTTCTTTATACATGCAACATTTTTCAGCAGCACAATATTCCATAACATGAAACCTAAATGTGTAATTGCTACAAACTTTGCAGGTGCAGACCCGAACGTGCGAGATCACAGTGGCCGTAAACCGGCGCAGTACCTCAACAGCTCAGCGCAAGCCTCCAAGACAAGCACAAACCACAAGAGCTTTCAACAACGTAAGCACCTGTATGCTCCCTCACAGCTGGACCCTGGTTTGAGCACAGGGCTTGGTCCAGCCACCTCAAATGCTGCCCCAGCGGGCTCTAACCCCAAGGGCGTCTCTCGGAGCCAGTCCTTCCTCAGCCAGACGTTCCGCAGGGCTACGAGACCCCATGTTGGCCTTAGGGCCTCTGCTAGGCCACGTATCAAGTCCATCTTTCAGTAGGAAAGGGGCCTTGGCCTGGTGAAGCATGGCTTCCCTGCAAGTGCACTCTTGATTTGGAGGGAACACATTTGTGTTTTGTTTGAGTTTCAGATGTCATCAGTATTGTGCTGTTGTATTAGATTCTTGTTATCATAATTCAGTTCATGACACCTCTTTTCTTCATTGAAAATTCCAGAGTTTATTTTGTTTGTGCTGACGCTCACTTTCAAAGGTCCTTGCTTTTTTCAGTTAGTGTGAAAAAGTACTTGACATCCATGTTGCTTTTAGGTTGTGCTGCTTCAGCACTGTAGAACTAATAGACGACTGACGTTTCTGTGCCTTGATTTTTCAACCACTTACTGATCTAATGAGAGATTGTGCCTTGATAATGTATCCACTTTGTTCAGCCAAATATCATCTGTGAATGCCTAGGCTGTGGGGATAAGTATGGGTTGCAACTCCTGCCCAGTAAACATAGTAACTGGTGGCTAATAATCTGCATTTGCGATCAAAAGGAAATTGGCTTTTAAAAAAAAAAAAAATTCAAAGATTTCATTTTGTCTTGATTTGACTGTTTTTGTGGGTGTAAAGCAGTAAGCTCAAGCTTAACCTAAGCCAGCATTTAGTACTAAATGCAGTGCCACAGCTACATGTCCGTCTGCAATATCTACCGCAAAATCCCGTAAGGGCACCCACCCAAAATGAAGAGATAAATGGTGAAAAACAGGATGTGGGCTATCTTTGGGGATGAGACAGCAAAACCTAATGTTAAACACAGAGGCACCCATTAGAAATCACGTGACACGGAATGCCACAGGTCGAGGACACCGTAAATTCGCGTTTCATGGCGTGATAAACACGCGAGAATTTGCAGCAAACTCCTGTGTAATGGGAAAGGATTCCGCAGATTGCGGCTGCAGTAGATTCGCATTTCACTGTGCGATAAACAAGCGGAAACCTGCTGCAAACTTGCGTATCACGGGAGCAGATATTGCACGCACAGATCGTGGACAAAAGCGCAGGAATCCGCTGCGAGCTCGCTCGTCTCGCATACTGGTATTGCAGATGGCACGGTTTGTGCGATTCCTATCGGACATTGTGTGATGTCCGACAAAAATCGGAGTGGGCGATCTCTCGGGGTAGGGCGTTTGTACGGGATTTTATGGTAATGTTTTTTTTGTGGGTCCAGAATTTTTTTTTTTTTTTTGTAAAGAACTTACATTAGGGTTTTTTAAGCTAATTAACAAAAAAGGTTAGCTCTAAACTTCTTTTTTCTTTTTTTAGGCATAATGTAGTTGGAGGTTTGATGCTTGACCTCATTAAAGCCTAGCCGTGGCGTGAAAGTTTGATTAAAAAATTTCTAGTGGGCACTTTGGGGCAAGAAATGTCACCCTTTACCAGTCTTGGGTAAGTTACTCTTAAAAAGTAATTCGTTACAGTTACAGTTACTTTCAGAAAAAAGTAGCAAAGTTACCGTTACAGTTACCGCAACAAAAGAGTAACTCGTTACAATTACAGTTGCTTTCAAAAAGTAACGACGTTACTTTTCAGCTACTTTTCGATAGCACAAAAAAAAAAAGTTAGGAAAAACTGGTGTCTGAAAGAAAAAATATATAGACAGGAATCAGTCAGGCTTCCACCATAGCGGTAAATTCTAACTTTATAGTTTAGCTGGAAAATTACTCAATATTATAAAAATAATAAAGTCCAAAATTCAACTCAATGTGTTTTCTCAGATTTGAACACGAAGGCTTGTTGTCGGAGTACTCCTTGTTGCATAGTTTGCATACTGCGGTCAAATTGTTAGCAACCCCCTTCACCACAGCAAAATACTGTCTGTACGCCGTTCATGCTAGTTCTTCGTTCTCATCAATATCCCTATCCTTGGTAGCACTAGCACATTCCTTGCTCGTTGACGGTTGCGCTGGGTTCATGGAGTTCTTGGACATATTTCAGTAAGTACACGGCAAGCCAGAAACAAACCCCGCGCAAACAGTAAATTTTGCCTCCACTGTTGACACCACGCCGGAGTAAATCACACCGGAGCAAATCAAAATATGAAACATACAAAGTGACCCTCTGCGTGTATTGTTGTTTCAAGGTTGATTCACCCAATTAAAAAACGTGCGCAGAAAAAAAATAACAAAAAAGAAACGCAACAGAGATACTGTTTTAAGATACTAAGATGTAAGTGTTCAGTCACAAAGTACAAGCATGTGCATAAAGATAACTAGATTCTTCTTTTCTTCTTTTTTTCCATCAAATCTACACGTGGCTATATTCTGGTCGTGACTCGCGAGAAAGAACGTATTCCCAAGTTTGTGCAAGGCTAGGGTGCCTTCATGTGCGCTTCGCATTGAGTGATGCCAACTGCCTGTTTCCCTTTCCCACACCCTCTTTCACCGCCATTTTGTTCCTTTCATTGTTTCACGGAAATGTCGGAATGTCGGAACAGACAATCTGGAAAGTGCAAGAAATAGCTAGATTATACTCGTTCAATGATATATTGTTCATAAAGAACTGAAAAGTAACGACAAAAGTAACATCGTTACTTTCATTGTTACCTCAGAAAAAGTAATAGAACTACAGTTAGAAGTTACTTTCTTAAAAAGTAACTTGTTACAGTTACAAGTTACCAAAAAAGTAACAAAAATACAGTAACGCGTTACTACTCAAGACTGCCCTTTACCCTTCTACATGGCTTTAATACCGAAACTAAGTGAGGAAAGAACATCCGTGTCATTGATCCCTCCAGCCTCTGCCAGCTCCGTAACTCGCATGTCCGTGGCGCAGGGGACATCAGCAGTGCGGCGCAGGTGCAGAGAGGAGGGATTGATGTCACGGATGCCCTTTGCCGGCATAGTTTCAGCTTGAAGCCGTGTAGAAGGATGTCATTTCTCGCCCCTAGTGCCCACTGCAAATTTTTTTATCAAATTTTTATGTCATTGCTAAACCATAATGAGTTTGAGTGTCAATTCTCCAACTACATTATGCCACCAAAAGTTGAAATAAGTCAATATTTTTAATTAATTAGCTATTAACCCATTTTGCCTTTTTCCTAGTTGCCGCCATGGTTACCAACTTGACCTCAGGGCTAGAAAAACCCTAATGCAAGTTCTCTCTCTCCCCCACCTTTTCTTTTTTTAATTCTGGACCGATTAAAAATAAAGCGCGAGACACATGGACGGCAGAATCGTCCGATCCGACAGTCCGAACGCCGCTCCGAATCGCCGCACGCGACAGTTTGAGACACACACTTCCGACCTTGCATGCGACACGACGATCCGTTCGGCTCCTCCTAGGAGATCCAAGCACCCCAGCGGAGGTCCGCGTTCATAGATCTCGGGTCCCAGATTGACGGTTTAGCTCACACGAGCGAAGTTAGAAGCTCGTTCTCATTAGCGCGTGCATTCTTTGTCGGGGCCATCTTTCTCGAATGGGTCAGCGGGATCCACGCGTCCGGCTTCCCGTCGCCCGTCCCGTTTTCTTGTTCGTCCCGACAGACCCAGTACGTCATCATGACGTTCGCGCTAGCTGTGCTGTCATTGGCTAGACGCATCCGACAATCCGTCCGCCGTGCGCAACTATCTGGCGCGTTGGACGCACGTCGGATCGCCGATCCGACGTCTGAAGCGACCAAATTTTTCGGATCAGGCAGTCGTACTGCCGGATCGGACGTCGGATCGGATGGATTTTTCGCGCATGTGTCTCGCGCTTAAAGCGCGATCCAAACCAACACTTCTTTTTGCGCCTGTAGGTCGTGCGGCTGCGGATGTGACGTATTTTCGTGACGTCGCGCCGCTGGTTAACACGGTTCACAGGGAACAACTCACATTCATTCTTGCCTCTCTTCTTTTCCTCTACCTTCTATATTCCCACCTGTGGAATCATCATTATCCAGGCACTGTGATAGAAGAGGATTTTCATTGCAGTGTAGGGGTATCGGTTCTTAGTCATGCCTTTACTTGAGCACATACATTTTGTGCTCTCACTTATAAATTGTAGCTGTTTTTCTTTTTCTTTTTTTTTTTCTCTGTTAATGTTCTGCTGAGATTTCCCCTTAATATCCTGATGGTTGTGTGGATGGTGCTACTGTGATCACATACCTCTTTGAAGGTTGTATGGGTTTACCATGTTTAGATTACTTTATTAAAGAAATATTTTTAATTTTGCTGTCTGCTCTACTGGGCTTTCAGTAAGTTGCTGTAGGTGAAGTTACAGGTACACATTGTGCTAGAACACGTTCAGGATTTGAAAACAACGGATTGGTTGCCCCAAAATTATTACTGCCAGGATCTGAAGCTTGCAGCTTCATGGTTGACTCTAAACCTATATTAAGGAGTTTTCGAAGACCGCGTTTCCCTCTCCGCTAAGCCGTTCGCAACGAAGAAGCGGCTACTGCGCCTGCGCGCCGGTGGCCTTGGCTGTAGAGTTCCGGGTATGGCAGTGAGTTGCGGAGAGCGTTCCGGGACGGGGAAAACGATTAAGGCAGTTGCTTTAAACTGATCCAAAGTGCTTTCCATCTCACAATATTGGAAGGACATAAAATTTCTCTTTATTGATTTAGTAATTGTGCTTAAAGGTTCAGCTAAAAACACATTTCTCTTATAGTCGTCTGCTTAGAAAACCAACAAAAACAATTTGCTTTGTGTTGGAAGAGGGACAGTGTTAAAAAGTTTGTTTGCTTCTTCAGTTGCTTGGTGTTTGGCACAGTGTTCTATGATCCTCTTTTTAATGTTGGCTGATGGAGGTTGTGTTGCAAAATTTACATTGTATGACACACTTAGCGCGAACACGACATCAGCACTTTTT